TCATAGAAGACATTTGTAATGATCCTTTACTCAGCATTTATTCAAAGAGCTGCTACATTTTTGTTAGGGATAGCTATGAACACAAATGAACCTGTGAATGCAACAGATGTATTTACAAATAGGTGCCACGGAGGTATTGCTTCAGGTGTGGTAGTATGTAAGCTAGAAATGTATGCCCTGCTTCTAAGAAGGGAACAATTCTGTGTATACCATCTAGTTAACCTCCAACATTTAAAGCTCCACCCAGTGCATCAACAAATTCCCATATATGGATGGACGTCGAAGACCACGTTGCTCACATCACAGCCTAGTCCTTTCAAGCTGCCATTGCTTCTCAATGTGAGTGACTCATGGCACATGAAAAGATGGTGCTTCTTTTCCCACCATCAGACCTCATGTGCCGTTTAATTTACAAACTGCACAACTGGTTCTCCATATATCACATACCTTACAGGCATTTGGAGCCAGAAACCAGGCTTGGATTAGACTGAGAGATTTATTTGCTTATTTATTTGACTACTTTATTACATTCCCAGGCACTTTACAAAAAGAGTAAAACAATTAAAATGTAAATACACTATACAAGCTGAAAAAACATCATAAAAGCAGCATAAAACAAGATTAAAATTGTTTCTAGAGGACAGGAGAAGATAGAAATGTCCTTGCCCAATGCTGAAACAGAAATAAGATAGGCACACCTGCTTAGGAAGAATGTTCCATGACAAGGGATGTGATCATCAAGATACCCCCCTCTCTAGTATCCATCTCCCTCACCCAGGTGTCAAGAAGGGTCTTCACTGACCATCTTACTATAGTACATATGGAGATTAATGTGCCTTTTAATATCTTGGTCCCTTCTGCAAAGAGATTTAAAGTTCAAAGGCTTTACAATGTTTTGAATAAGACCAGAAAGAGGCAATTAGAGAAATGGGCCTCTGAAGCACCTTCCCAAGTAAGGCTCACTAGGATGACCATATCCTGCCTCTTTTCCTCCCCACCACCTCATAAGGAAAACTTTTTATTTTCCAGTTCATTCAGTGCTGGATCAATTGCCTTAATGCTGTGATTTTGTAGCATTTGATGGCTGTAAGTGGTTTTAATGGTTTTGTTTGTGGCTGTTAATAGGTGCAATTACTTGCTTGTAAAGCATCCTAGAGATCGTTTACACTGAAGGCTGGGATATAACTTTATAAAATAATTAATTTTGCACTCCCCTTGTTGCACTTCCAGTTCTTCTTGGGGATTAGCAATTCTACATACATTTTGAGTGCCTTTTGTCCCATCAACATAGCAGTCAAAGGGTGTGCTTCAAAGTTGTTTCCAGTTTGGCAAACATAAAAAGGTAAATGGAAAAACAAGTGACCTCTTTATCCATTTAGGACTTATTAAAGGCTCCAAATAGCATTCCTATATACAGTTATCCTGTATACATTTACCTGGAAGGAAGCCTCACTCACCTGAGTGGGACTTGCTGAGTGAGGAAGTGATCTATAGGACTACACTGTTATGAGGAATTAATACAGTGGTACCTCAGCTCACGAACACCTCAGTTCACGACCAAATTGGGTCGCAAACAGAAATTTCAGAAAAAAATTGCCTCAGGTTGTGAACTCCGCATTGGGTGACAATCTTAATCATGCCCGCCTTCCCTGCACAAGCACAGCCATGATCGCGATCGCAGTCTTGCTCATGCAGGGAACACGGGTGCGATCGCGGTCATGCTGGGGGGGGGGGGGGAAGATGCCCGCGATCTTTGTTCTTTGTCACTTTGCTTCAAATTTTTGTGATTAAAAAAAATAGTGACAGAACGGATTAACCTTATTTACACTGAACCTTATGAGGAAATTTGACTTGGCTCATGACCAATTTGGGCCACGACCAGAGTCCTGGAAGGGATTAAGTTTGTGATCCGAGGTACCACTGTACTTAGTGTTTCCTAGCAGCTGCTCATACTGTCTTAAAGAAGCAAAGCTCATTCTTTTAAATACAGGACCAAGTGATCTGACCTTAATAAATCTGGGCTAGGCTATAAACTGGGACAGCTAAACCCAGATAATGTTAAATGGAACCATTTCTCAAACTTCGCTTCTGATCTCTGCAGCATTCCCAGCAGATCTGAACAGCACCACTCCCCTATTTGAGGAATGCATTCTGACAAGCAGTTCCTGGCAACACGATCCAATATATGCCTACTCAAATGCAAGTCCCTTTGTTTTAATTTGCTTCCTTCTAGGTAAGTTGGTATAGAATTGCAGCCTGATTCTTTACCCGGTGATTTTAGTGTGCTGCATAGCACAAGCATATACAATGCCACACAGTATATGCCCTTTTTGACTTTTCCATATTTAGGTTGTTACAACCTGAAATGGAACTGGATTTCTTTGATATTTGTTATCACTTGATGTAAAGAAGATACTCAGCACTGGAAAGGCACAAGGTATTTTTATTGGAGCATAAATTAATGAAAAAGTGGCATGTATTGGTTGTGTTTACTGTACATGCTTACTTCAGAGTATGTGCCTCAGTATTTATAACTATGTAAGCTACTTTGTTGAAAGTATATTTAGGATTGCAGACTTAGCTGATATGCTTAAGATTACAGCCTCAGGAATAAAACTGCACCTTTTAAGAGACTACATCTCTTTAAATTTTTGAATAAAGAAATCAGGGCCACAACATGCTTTTTTACCCACAATACATGAAATAAATTAGAGTAATACACAACAGCATATTAAGAGGAAGTGAAAAATTTGATTTAGAGCCTTTTCACAGAAGCACTATTTGTATGCAGGGTAGAGATAAGGAAATAAATTCAATATCAGGATATGTCCCCCCTTTGGAATTATGTTTTAACTTCAGAATAGAGTCTTGTTTGGACTAATTTTCCCCCTTTCTCATTGCTTTGTGTGTGTGTTTCTGGGTTCAAGGCTGTTGCAGAAAGTGAGAAATAAAGTGATATGAGATCCAGTTGGACTTGTCTTGTTGAAAGGTGTTACTGAAAATAGCTCCCCCGTTATAGAAAACCAGGTGAATGGGTTCTCATTTCCTTCAAGAAAACCAGGTGATACAGGGAACTGTTTCTGAAAGACCAAGAAGTGATGATAATCCCATTGGTGCATTAGCACAGGGCCAGCCCTCACACAAAGCGGGGAGAGATGCCTGCTTCATACGGTGGGTGCAGGAGTACAAACTGCACTGTTCCCCCGCCACCCCCAAAATGTCCTGCTTGCACCCCTCCAGCGTTTGCCCTGGAGCTCTCTCTCCCATCACGGGATTCCCAACAGGGAATGCAAAGCTAGCAGGCTCGCTGGAAAAGCCATGCACCCTCTTTTCGCTTGCCATATGCACCTGCTTTGTCTTTTGCCGCTGCTGCACTGGGTTTGCAGAGAGCCACACAAGAGGCGGCAGTGGGGGTTTTGCATGAGCTCATGCAGAATGCACAAGAACTCTGCAGCCCTTAACTCGCACTGGTGTTCTCTGAGGTGGCGGTGACAGGAAGTGCCACACAGTGGCAATGGGCTGTGATGCAGAAGCATGCAGCAAGAAGTCTGCATCAGCAAAATGAAGCTTAAAGGAGTTCTATGGATCTTCATGCTTGTTTATTTTCTTGACCTATGTCTACCATTGTACACTGGTCAGTTGTCCACAAATAGCAGGGCAAGTTTGCATTTGCACTTAGTTACTAAATATGAAGCCAAGGGTCTGTATATGGAAGGAAAAGCTCAACTGTGGCAAAAGAAACATTCATCCAAACAACGCCTCCACCTTGTCAAAACAGTCAAGACTTTTGCTACTTTATAGACTGACAGATGTAATGTAAAAATGCACCAGGGGCTACTTTGCCAGATTCATAAATATATAACTGAAGAATTGCATCATTCCCATGGTAAGGTCTTTTCAACCCACTCACAGGTTTTTTGTGTGTCCGTATTTGCCAAATGAAAATAACACTGAATAAAATGCTTTCAGAGCAAGGGCTTCTAGTTTTACCAATTTGTGCATCTCCCTTATCTTTTCTTCCAATATATATCTTCCGGAAATGAAAGAAGTAGCAGGAAACCACATTTCCTAGATTCTGCTTTCCCGTGCAGCAATAAAACTCTCACCTTGCAGCAGGTAAAATCCACTAAAGTTGACCCATAATATCCCTTAGGATGCAGTCTTATGTATGTTTATCCAAGTTTTTTCAGCCTTTTTGTTGCAGGCCTTTTTCTGTCTTCACATGCACAAATTGCACCTCCAGTCTTTCAGGTGCTGTAAGACCTCTGCCGTTTTTGCTGCAACAGACTAAACAGAGCTACCCTTTCAGTGCTTTTCTTTGGGTTTTTGTTTTGTTTTGTTTTTTGCCAAGTATTTTAATGATTTCCCCAAAACATCGATAACTTCTAACTCAAACAACCCTTCAGCCAGGCTTATATTCCCACTTCTAGATTGTTATTGTGTTTTTTATTATTATTCACGTTACCATGGCTTAAAATATTTGGCTCAAATAAAATATTTGCTTAATGTAATGACTCCCTCAGTACAGTCGAGATAAGGAAGAAGAGGGTCGATGGAGCGCGGCTGAGCTCAGACCTTATTTTTAGAGTGAACGGGCTAATAATATCTCCGGGTTTACCCCCCCTCTTTCTTTCGTCCCACACCCCGCGACACACTCACTTCCTCTTTACGTGAATGAACCCGCTGCCTGAGCGCCGTGTTTCCCGGCCATCCTTTAAAAGGGAAAGAAGGCGACGTGTGACTCAGAGCAGGCATTCCGCTCCCTGCGCGAGAACAGATGTGCGCCCCGCCCTCCACAGCTGGAACGTGGCGCGGCGCCGTCTCCACCCCCCCCCCCCCCCCCCCCCCCCCCCCCCCCCCCCCCGGCGAGCAGCCCCGTTCTTCTCCGGGGCGTCGAAGCGAGCCTGAGAACCTGTGGCTGAGCCTCCCGTCGGATTGGCTGGAAAAGTTTGAACCCTTCCTCTGATTGGCTGGCAGTGTTTGAGAGGGAACTGTGGGCTCCAATTAAAGGGACGTCGGTCGGGCGAGTTGCGGGCGAGCGCTCTGGACTTTGGAAGTGGCGCTTGGGATAAGGGACCTAGACGCTGGGACCGCTGCCGGAGCTACTGGCCGCAACGAGACGCCTTTGCTTCTTGCAGGCAGATTGAGATAGCAAAAGAGGGGCGAGAAAGGCAAGCTGAGGGATGGATCTGAGTTCAGGAATTCAGAAGGTGAGTAAGCTCCCACACGAATCCCACCTAGCTCTCCTTCCTTTTTTTAAAGCATTATTCGGGAAGATTCGAAGTAGTTTCAGCTTCTCTGCTTCAGGTGATCACAGCACATAAAGCTGAAGTCCGACATTTAACCGAATGCTTTTCAATTTCTTCTGAATTGTCACTGAACTTTCTGCATTTCAGTGATCTTTGAGCTGCTTACAACACACGTACGCACAACCATCTGTATACATACCTGTACATTACAGGATGCCGTTTCATACATTTGACGAAGTGGGCTGTAGTCTGTGAAGGTTTATAGCGTAATATAATACGCGTTTTGCTCGTCAAGGTGCTCCGATTGTCATTTCTGTGTGTGTGTGTGTGTGTGTGTGTGTGTGAGAGAGAGAGAGAGAGAGAGAGAGAGAGAGAGAGAGAGAGAGAGATTATCAATGTTACAGTTCATACCAAACAATGAGATTATTTTAAATTGCAGTGGATACTTGAATTGTGGATCACTTTCCTTCATAAAGCATGTGGAAAAGTGGCTATGCATTCATGGCTAGTGCTTGTGTAGTTCTTGTTATGCAGCTTAATTTAAGAATATGACACAAATGCAGTCCATGGGTGGAATTCAATAATTTCCTGCAATTCAGTTCAGTGACGCCATTAAATCATACAGCTGAAAACTGAATAAGTGCCCAAACCTTACTGCTCTGTTAATTGGAACTTACTCTCAGGTCAAGAAAGCATAGCATTTAAGTTCTAAGGGTACTAATTCTACTCAGATTGTGTGGTCTTCTTTCCAATGTATTGTAACATCTTTTTATTGGTCTACAAAGAAATCCATAGGAAAAGGTTGGGGATTCTGCAACATTTCATTTTCCTGGCCTAGTATAATTGAAAGACTTTTAGAGAAACACAGTCTATATTCTTAATTATAGCAATATAGATTTCCCAGTTTTTTCTATTCCTCTTAGTAGGGCCAACTCAACATATTTCAAAAGCCATGTGGTAAGTGGGAAGGTAAAGCTTGCTTTGATCTTTAGAAGGGGGACAATTCAATGTCATCAGTGTGGCATTGGACACTCTCAGTTTCCAAAGAGATGGTGATGACTCTGTAATATACTATGTCTCCAGCGTAACATAATAGGTGTGCAACCTCATTTATCCAAATAGAATGGAAGACATCCTAAACAGTTGGATAGTGCGAAAATAAAGTAATGGGAGTGCTATTTGCACAGGTTTAAAATAACCTGGTTTACAGCATAATGGAATGAGGAGCATGAAGATAGTCAGGCCCATAAATGAGTAGTGGGGAATTCTAATGTCAATGCTGTACCAGTCGGCCTCAACAGGCTCATGTTGCAAAATGCATTCCACAGTCGGCATGAGCATTGCATGGACACCCTGGGCCTCCAAATCTAGCACTAGACCGATATTGTGTATATTCAAAACAATGGAGCTCTTCCGAGACGGTTTCTTCACCCATCTGGATTTTGTATCATTAATTATTCCTCTTTAACTTTGCTTTCAACTTTCTTGAATACGAAGTCTTCAACTGTGATTTTTGTCCCTTCGTCTTTCTTCTCTATCCAGCACATCTAGTAAAATCACCAGTGATACCCACCGTGTCCCATCAAACAGGTTCATCTCGCCACTTTTGCCATGGCTGATCACGTTTTCATCTTAGCCTTCTCTGTGCCGCCTGGAAATTATGGGAGTTGCTTCCAACCCTTCTGGAGAGCACCAAGTTGATGAAGGCTGTCTTTCAGACTCTCTTTCTGAGATTGCATTCTGCTGGCTCCTGTTTCTTTGATTCTATCTATGCAAACTATATTCACTGGCTTTTTCCATTGGTAAATTCCAGAGTTGAATTCTTTGCTGTTCCAAAGGTTTTATTTATCACTTAAATTAGGTTAGTATCAAATATCTTCATACTTGTATCTTTACCTCTGTTCATTGCTGAAGTATTTCAGAAACAGGATCATACAGGACTGAGATCTTCTCATCAGCGTAGCTTTAGAAACTGTTCTTGCACTCCAGGAATAGTGTGGTAGGACTCCATTCCATGATGGTTTGATCATGTCATAGCACAAGGACTAGGTTAACTTATGTGAGTATTTCCCATGCCAGCAGAACATCATGGGTACTTCTCTATAATGTTGTTCTATATCTTCATGAGTGCAGTTGATGTAAGGAAAGTTGCTTATGTCAACTATACTGCACTGTTACTGGAGTGGCATATATATGTCAGAAACAGACATCTTTGTCTCCTGTCTTCTATTTCAGCTCTTCTAATGCTGGTGACCATATTAATGTAGTTTCTCTTACCAAGAACTTAACATGACTTAATCTTCATATTTGCATCTCGCACTTCTGGAATACAACAGTTACACATTACTAGAAGTTTGATAGTTCACTGCATAAGTAATAAGAGTGTGGGAATGGCATCCTTGGTAGATTTAGTGATGTATTTAGACAAATGAAACTGAGAAGCACTACACTGCTTTCAGGTTTATCTGTATGATAGAAGCTACAGAACACAGCATCCATTATAACATCCATAGGTCAAGCCTTCTAATGGCTGGTCTTCAGTCGCCAAAACCTGGTGTTTCCCCACACTGTTTAGCTGCTAGCAAATTGGGGACAAGATCCAAAAAGAGTATCCAAAACCCATGATGTGTTAAATGCACTAAGGGAGCTATGGGGAAGAATGTTCGCTACTATACCTCCTGACCTTGACTTGTGAGCTTCTGCCATCCCCAAAATAGAAACCTGGATTGGAACATATGACAACAGTCCAGTGGTTTGTGTATAGCAAGTCATGGTTTGTTTAGAATTTGGAGAACCCCATCACCAAGCTACATTAAAAAAAGTTTAATGTAGTTTGTTTGGAAGGAAAATCACGAAAGGACTGGACTATGCATGCCTTGGACTTGCTGTCAATAAGCACCGTGAGAAGCTGTTGGAGCAATAGTTAAAGATTCGACCTAGTGACTTCCTCACCATTCCTGAGTTGCTCTTGCAGGAATACTTTGCACATGACCCTCTTGAGACTGAAAATCTGAATCCAGGGGAGGGAAGCAAATAGCCTTGTACACAGCCATGTTTGCAAATGTTGGAGGAGGGTGAAACCAGGGTGAAATATAATGTTCTCTACCTCTGTAATCTGTGTGTAGGGTGAAGAAGTGGCTATTAGGCACTATATATAATCCTGGATTTCGTCTGAGCTCTTTTTCCAAGAACATAAAAGAGAAAGATACTGTGAAAGTCCTCCTACCGAGAGTAAAATCAGGGTGACACTGTATTGAGGCTGTGACTCTCCTTTGTGAGAATTGTTGAGTGTGATAGAAGGGTTGCTATTGAACAGGACATTGAACCTAATTGCCTTGCGGACCCCTTCCAACTCTACCATTTTATCATAGACTTCCCCTTGTTTCATCTGCTGGCCTTTTCTCAGTGGGACTGAAGGAGATGCCTAGTAGAATCCAAGTTTACAGAGGATCAAGACAGCTGGGCAGGGCCTAGAGCCCCTGTGTATTGGCTTCCTTAGTCCTTGAAATCTGCATTTTCCTTCCGAAGGAGCTCATCTGAATAAGAGATGGCCTTCACTGCCATCTAGCATTCCAAGTTGTCAGTCACCTGAATTACAACCAAGTATAGCTCTGACTGACAAGAACCCAAATGCTAAACCACATTTCAGCCGAACAAAAATGAAAACTTTGGATCAACTGAAGTGTTTTTCCCTGCTCTCAATAGCACTGTGATGCCAAACACATGCCTAGGCCAAGCATCATTGCTGTAGATGACAGCTTAATTTCTTGGATTGGGGAAGAGGTTGCTTTTCTTTTTTATTTTCTGGGCATGGGGCAAACGACTGTCAGTCTGGAGTGCTCTTGGTAATGTTACACAGCCAGTTTGAACAAGTCTGTGACTGTGGAGTCTGGAATCTATTAAAGCTTGTTGTAGAGTTCTGAAAAGTCAATTGTTCGCTCACTGCTAGTCTTAATTATTGTTAGACAGCATATTATGAATAAAAGAGAAGCAGTGGGTAAGGCAGATGTTTCCAAGCTGGAAGGACTTACATTAAATGTGAAATGAAGATCCTTGCATCAAATCAACTAAGATTAGAAGGCTTCAATCTCTGAGCTTTATTAGAAACTTTTAAGCACTAATACAGAGATGTAACCCGAGAACAAAGAATGCATTCCCACTTAATTCAAACAACTTTTTTCAGAAAAAGCCAACTGTTTTTAAAATCCCCCTAGTATTATTTTCAAAACTGAAATTTAGGAGATCCAACCGTTGCACTTCTTTGAACTAAACAGTATGGATCTACTGCTATTCAGAGTTAGACTGTGATGAAGGGCATAGTTAAATGCTGCAAAATGAGTTTGCCACAGGGTCTAGCAGTAAATGTAAAATATGAATTTGTGCCTCATGCACAACGATGAGACAATACTTCAAGAGCTCTGCTCTGTGTGACAGGTAAGTAAATAAAGGTCCCAAGGCCTGCCCCTCCCTACCCTCACACCCCACTTATGAGAAATGCCACTTGACTTCTGGTTGCCACTTCTATCTCCTGGCTAGCATTTATGGCAACAAATCTCAACAGGAAGTAATTTCAGTGGAAGCAGCCCACATTTTTCACTCTAACTACCTTTTCAAGAAAACTATTTGCTAATTCTTGGCTCTTCTGTCCCTAGTTTAAAGTGAAGATGCTGGTCCAAAGAGATGATCACAGGATATTTTACTGTCTCCTCTAGAAGAGGCTTTAGAATAGCAAAAGCACCACAAAAATAGTGGAGGTAGCCCATTAGCACCTTCACAACTGGCTGGTCCGGTGCATTTTGAGTAGTGTGGCCAAATTCCAAGAAGGTTTTCTGGATGTTTAGAGGAAAAATGAATTCCTGTTGCACCAAGGAAGCTCTTAACCAATCAAGGTGCTTGTCCCAAAAGTGTTCCAGGTGAGGTGAGAAAGACGTGTTTAATAATCTAGCTGTGTGTTTCTCTCC